TATAGGTGCCAGTCACCCAATGTACATATGCTGTACATCTCGTGGGAACCTCTCTAATTATCAACTTCGGCACAGTTCCTGCCAAGTCACCAATTGTGGAATTGTTATTTTCTTTCAGCTGCTGAATAAGTGCCATGGTACAAACAAATGGATCATCAGTTATATACATAAAACATGGTTTGCACCAAATATTGGTGAATATCTTAGTTTGATAAGAAACAATACTTTTATCATCATGGAATGTTAGTTTGTGAACTTTTTCGTTCACAAACATATATTTAGCCACTTTCACAAACATTCTATCACAAATGGAACCAGCTATATTAGGTTGTATAGGCTTGGTCGCCATCTTGGACGCCATCTTGGATCTGAAGGTCAGCGCAATAACTGTTTTCGAGCACACCAACAAATTATGGTATCTCATTCCATAGAGGTGCAAATACACACAGTGAACTTATTTTGTATGCCGGGTACAATGGGAGTGCTTATTATGTGAGATCAGACTTTCGCTTATAACGGCCTTCCATTCACGCGTACATGTCACGAGAGCACTTCATTGCTAGAGAAGGTTTCTACAACTTACAAGCTTAAAGCGGGAAGGTCGTCACCTGCGCACGCGCGGGAATTGAGTCCCAAGCGACGATAACACCCGCTAAAACGCAAAGGCTCATGAGTAGACGCTTGTTTGCAAACAATGACACGCTATGGCCATCTGACGCATGCGCAGGGGACGACTCCCCCGCTTTAACACCGCCGAAGGAAGTGGAATCCAATAACGAAATTGCCACAACGCCACGATGACGCTTCTTATTTGAATGTGTATTAATAGTTTGTAAAGACAAAGGTTAATTTGATTTCAGGAATTTAAGTGCCCGTCCTCCGTCTGACTTTCCCATGGAAACACCCTCCCCTATTCTAAGTCTTGTGCAGTTTTTCGTTTTACATACATACATACTTACTTTCTGTGTAACTTTTCCCCGGTTAGGGTTTTCCAAAACATTCCGGTTCCCAGCAGCTTTGAAAATTTCACGGAAATGAACGAATTTTCGACTGTTTCCGAAACAGCACACTTGTTGAAAGCCCTCCCCTCGGAACTACAAATGAAATCATCGAGTGCATCAAAGCGTTCATTATCTGATAACCGCTTCCCGACGAGTTTGAAAGAGCCAACGTTTCCAAAAAATACGTTGTTATAGGGGTGTTTCTCGAGAACAATTTGGCCTCTCTGTACAAGGGCACACAAGGAAACACCGTAACAAACGGGACATTTGTTAACTTCGTATGGGTACGTTGATACGTCCTGGGAGATGTTTACATCGTGTCCGTCTTGTTTCAAGCGGTTTATTATATTTCCTATCGTATCCGTGGTGTGCACGTTACTGCTTGTGTTCCAGCGGTCGTAGACACGTAGATCGGGGTGGAGGTACTTCCTTATTTTCGACAATGGGTCTTGGTATCGCAACAGGTTATATGGTCGCGATAAGAAATCCAGGAATAATATAAGCAAGCTGATAAACGTTATCACGCAGACCAGTGGCGGAGCCTTCCGAGACCTCCTGGCGAGATAGCACGGCATTGTAGAGGTTACGCGACGTCCGCGCCCGGTAAACGCGATATAAGAGAGGCGATAAGCAGAACACAGCTACCGGAGATACTACCAGTACAACGACTAGTGGGAGTTTAAACTTGCGTAATTTACATATCTGGTATCACGTGATCATGATGAAGGATTTATGACCCTGTGTTTAACACTGTCACTGCACTTTCATAATACAAAGGCGAGCACGAAGTTTTCGCTCTAAGCTTCGACATGGCTCCGGGTTGGCAGGCGAGTGTGTGTAGTATCGGCGGTGACACTAGCGGAAAATAAATTGTATCTACCGCTTTGCCCTACACTATTATTGATACCCTCAGTTGCTGTTACCATGGTTTCCCCAGTAAATACGATTACTTCTGATAGCTACTGACGACAACAGCCATTGTGTTTCTTAAATCTAACCGATGGCAAGAAAGTGTAATATTAGGTGCGTCCTTGAGCAATGCCCACCCTCACGTTTCCCATTTTAGATCTGTGTCCCACTGAAATGGGCAGTTATTGATTTTTTGGCTGAAAATGATTACTCGTATCCAAGTAAATTTGGGATATTTCTCGTGTTGTAGCCACGCCCACCTATTCTGAAACGGTCGACTGTTTACGTATTTCCGACTCTCGCCGAAAGTGCGCCACCAAATGCCAAAATGTGAGAGGAAGTCATACCCCTGAGCCGTAATAACACTGGTCATTCAGTATACTTTTAAACGATATACATTTTTCGGTCGGCGTTTTTTTGTCTTTTTTTTGTGTCTATTTTATTTTTTTGAGAGAGTTTTTAGATGTTGTGTTGTGGGCAGTTGCAGTGAAACGTATAGTCATAGTGTAAATATTCACACGTTTCTAATCGATCCGAAAGTGCGACATCAGTGGACGAAAGCCACTTAACCTCAGCTTCTTTTTTTGGAAAAACTGTCCTCGTCCATGAAAAAAAAAACAGGTTTAAAGAGAAACGCAGACAACATAAACCTGGCGCAACACTTTTGAAAGAAATAGATTCCGGACCATGATCATCGAGGCGGATTTCAGAAGAGAGCGAGAGAGAGACGGCAAGTGTTTCAAATGAGTTGACTTTTTTTTCGATCCTGATTATCGTTTTATAGAGACCATTTAGTCCCTGTTAAGTAAAGAGTAGCAATAATTTTGACAATGACACGAAAACGAAGCGTCGGACAAACAGGAAATTACACAGCCCTTACACACTGCTATTTGTTTTCATTTTCGAAGGCTAAAAGTTTCTGAATTGTTTGGTGATTGGTGTTGACTGTCGAATTCACACCTCTGTTCTTTTTTACCTCCATGCTTGCAGCTTGATCTGCGTAATAATTTATGAAATAAGAATCCGGGCCTGGTCAATGTGTTTCCACCAAATAAAGTTTTAATACGATGTTATAATTATGAAAATCACGCCATGGATCAAGCTAACTCGAATACACTCTGAATTTATCCGTATGTGTGTCGATCTCGATTATTTTTTATTTCTACGCGGCTGTCATTTATTTAGTAACTTTGATTTGTCGTTTTTTTAATTATTTTATAGTGATCACTATAGTCTAATGTTTAGAATGTCAAAATATGTTCTCTTTTATTTTAGATTTGAAAGTTTTACTCAGACGATCGATGAAATAAAACAGTGTAGTGACGTGCCTAGTAACCTGCTAAATAACGAGATAATTCCGACGTCAAATTCTATTTTGTCCAGCAACAGTGTACAAACGTGCGCCAGTGTCGGTGACGATCACGCTGACCAGCTACATCAGAACGGACATATTTCGCATCTAACTCAACCCCATGCAACAAAAATTGATACTATGTGTTCATTATGATCCATACTTCCTCGACGAACAAGTACATAAGTGACAATATAGTCAAAGACGAGAAAACTGCACAGGAAATTTGCCTTATTTACACGTATCGGCAAGGCAAGGTGCCATGCGACTTCCCCTTCTGACGTCACAAGGGGAATTTCTG